TAGACACAATTTTGAATTCAGTCGATTACGTATACACTTTTATTTTGTGACCATAATTTATTTATTTATAATATGCAAATTGGTACATTGTACTTATTTTTAACAAAGCAAGGATAAAAGTTGTCAAAGTTAGCAATTTATATATTTTTTTCAATTAAAACTAAACATAGAATATGAATTTAAGTTGATGATGCTATTTATTAGCTTTCAATTTCTAACTAAATATAGGTATGTGTCCAAAATTTATATAATTTATTTTTATCTTAATCAATATGTTTGGAATGTATATTAATTAATTATGAGTGCAATTGCAAAAATAACGTTTAATTGAATTAAAGAAATTGCATCAACTCACCAAGCCTTATTAAATCTTACTCACGTCTATTTGTAATCATATTACGCATAATATAGTACCTACACGTGCACGAATATGTATCTACATAATACTATATTGTAAACTTGTGCAAATACCATTTATGTACTATGATTATAAATTCGACGAAAATACAACAAGCCACAAAGTGTTGAAAATTAAAACATAATAAACACGAATCACATCAATGATCGAGCCTAAAATAGCGGATTCTGACACGAGTATTGTACATGATAATACGTAACTCTATACTGAAAAATCAGAGTTGCTTTGGTGTCGCCTGGATTCCAGATGTGTGAATGTTTAATGACTAATGTGTATATCAGCTATCCGTATGTTGTAGTGTGTAAATAGTAAAAACTATTATTATCGATGATCGGGTATTATGTTTCAAGTGGACCATGCGGCTACAGTATTGTACAGATTGTACCATAAAAACACCATACTGGCACAACATAATTATTATAATATATTATGCCTGGTTTTCGAACCAGAAACCCTATAAAATTTAATAAGTACATTATGTAATATTGTTATTTTGTTTCAATCAGATTGAAAAACTCATTAAAATTTCAAATTTGAAAACGATATTATACTGCTGCAATATGTATTATTTTCATATTTGACTATATTGTTATGTTATACATTTAATATTTAGCATAAGCATTATTATTTTTTTTTCCGGAAACAGAGTATTCATTTTTCCAGCATTCATGTTATATCTACACATACGATTTTTTGACAACTGAAGATTACGTTGATTTCATTATGATAAACTTGAAATACTAGCCATCACATATTATATTAATATTATTATTACAATTTGTTTTTATTATTATTTATATATTATACGACTCAACTTAGAAAGTTATCGACATTTTTTAAATAAAATTTTATTATTATATTGTTTGAAATATTTACCGTTTATTTATTTTCTTTAATACAAAAAATAAATTGATACAATGTTTTATTTCTATCGTAACTGTACAATGAGTCATTTATTTGCAAGACCACTAAATAATCAAATATTTTTATTTGTTTCAATAAATCATTTATTAATTTAATTGTAATAGTATACTAAGTTTATTTTGTCATCACTTTATCACCATTTGATACAATAACTATTCAATTTAATATCAGTTATTATAATACATTGAATCAATTTTTTACTAAATCTTTGGTACTATCAAATTAATATTTTCTAAAAAAATTTAAAATAGATTTTTTCATATGAGATTGAAAATAAAACGTTTCACCAAAATTTAAAAGTAATAGGTAAAGTATCGAAATGTTGAAATTAAGCACAAACCAACATATATGTATACTTTCTGAATTTACATTTTATTCATATTATATTAAATTATATTGTTTGTAATCAGTGACTTACTTACAAAATATACTATATACATTAAAAATATATAAAAATAAACTGTTTTAAATGAGGTAGATAACATTGACGTCAAACAAAAATTTTTTAAATTTTAAATTATTAAAACTAAAAATTATCTTAGTACTACTTTGTGTACAACATTCCTGGTTAACCTGTCTTTCGCTAACATGAAGAGATTTGATGGTTTTCCTACACGTGAGCAGGCAACATGTTATAGCTGTCCATGTGATAAACATGTGTTTTCCAAATCCAAACCACAAATAGAAATTGTTTGGCTTTCAGATTTATTTATGGTCATCGCATAAGCTAAACAAATCGGAGCCTTTTAAACGGTATTTTATATTATAACACTACCAGTGGAATACGTGGCAACAGGACGATATCTCCTTTAAATTTTTTCCGTCAAAATTGTTGCTTCGAGAATATTTTCGGTAATTTTTTTTATGACTAAACGTGTACCGTTACATAATTGAGTTGGGTTTAAATTACGTAGAATAATTGGTGAGCCAATTTTCAATTGAAGATTGAGTGTTGGCATTCATGGCAAATCCAGAGAATTCAAAAATTCAGTTGGAAAGTTTACGGCTTCGTTTTCATCAATAACCATGTCGATTGATTTAAAAGACATCAAATCACCGGGAAAAATCTGTTGTATATGGAAGTTAATTTCGTTTACATCAACGTTTCTTGCTGCCAAAATAGCGCGATTACAGAGCCAATTGTCATCTAAGTAATAATTCAATATATCCGGAAAGACACTCTCAATTATCGGTTCAACAACATTGCAGAAAATATCTGGTAATTTTATGTACTGTTTATTTTGATGCAACTCAATTTTACCATTTCCAATATCCAGTAATTGTTTAGAAAATACTTGTGCCGATGGATCATTTTGCAATTGTACTCGCGTATTCAGTCAGTCGAAAGTTTCTCAACACTTGTCCATAAAAACGATTGTTTTAAGCATGCGTTGATCTCATCGGCAAAAGTATAGTGAGGAATAACTGGTAAAGTCTGTCGGAAATCACCGGACAGTAGTAAAACAGTACCACTAAAATTTTTATTGTTGCTCTTCAAATCTTGCATAGTTCTATGAAAAGCTTGTGAATGTTACGAGTCATAGTACACTCATCCCAAATTATTATTTCACTATTTTGCAACACTGTAGCCATTCCGCTTCTTTTTTTTTGAATGTTACACATTGCATTTGGTTTGTTATGAATGTCTAATGGCAATTTCAAAGCTGAATGTGCTGTTCGTCCACCATCTAGCAAAGTTGCAGCAATGCCTGACGATGCAATTGCCAAAGCAATTGTCTGTTGGGAACGTGTCTTTGTAAGAATTAATGATATTAAGAATGTCTTACCTGTTCCACCTGGCGCGTCTAAGAAAAAAAACCCACCTTGGTCTGCATCAACCGTCAGGCATTATCCGATTATAAATATTTTTTTGTTTGGCTGTCAGTAATGGTTCATTATTCAAAATAATTGTTGCTAAATCAACGTCATTGTACTGTTTTTCTCGTTGTAAATCGGTGTTAACTAAGTCGGCAGACGGGCGATCAGGTGATGGCATTCCTTTATGACTAAGTGACAAATTTGAAATTAAAATACATAAATCTTCGATCAACACTAATGCTTCATTATAATATCTGGTGTKAAATCTAAATTTGGACATTGATTTGTTCGTCTAATTCGATGCAGTATACCTTCAGCCATATAATTCTTATATTTTTCCCACAGAGTCAAAAAGAAGCATTCACGTTGTTTAGGATGTACAGTGTAAAGTCGTCCTAATGTCTTAGCTTTAAATATGCCTGGGATCGATGGATGTGGTTTTCCTTGCTTACGTGGCTCCCAATTTTTCCCTATATTATTCCATGTAAAATAGCGTGGAACATTGGTATATAATAATGTTTTTGCAAATTGGCCGAATACATCAG